GCATAAGTATCTAAGAATAATTCAAAGGGTTGACATATAGCCCTTTGTTTAATGCTACAGAGGATCTAATTTATAATGCTTATAGTAATAATAATTTTTGCTGCTATTAAAATGAAAAACCTTCCATTAATTAGATAAAACAACAAAATGGACACACAAAACTTAACACATCTTAGACTTACTGATAAGGTTTGAGCCAAGTGATGTGTGTGTTTGTGCATGTTTGCATACATTTTTGACACAGTTGTGAATATCCCTTTTTTACAACTTTGGGAGCTATGGACAGGAGTGACAGTGTTTGCAGTGCAGTAGCTGTACTCCTTGTTCCCCCAAAAGACATTCAAAGTGAGGGCAACACTTCCTACTTTCACTCTGAATTGGCTTCATTACATCACCACAGTCTAATCTGATTGGCTGTTTTCCACTGTAATGTCACTACACGGCTTATTTGATCCCCAATTGGCTACAATCCAGAAGAATAGAACCTCTCTCCCCCTTGGCACACAAGCTGTAGATCAGAGGAGGAAATCAGCCATCAGGAAAGAAGCAAACAAGAGATGAACCACCTGAGAACATATGCCACTCCCCCCCCCCCCCCCCGCCAAAAAAAATCTTTGAAATTTTGGTACTGATACAAGTTTCTATTAGAAACTAAGAATTGAATGTAGGCAAAGTGCTCTTGGTTGATTCCATTAGCAAAATGATTGGAAGCTACTAATTTAGCTTGCAACCATAGGTATTTCTGAATGTCACACGTTCATTGATAGTATTATGTATTTGTTTTGGCCACCTCATGAGAAGAGAAGACTCTCTGGAAAAAACTCTGATGTTGGGTAAGGTTGAGGGCACAAGAAGGGGACGACAGAGGACGAGATGGTTGGACAGTGTTATAGAAGCTACCGACATGAATTTGACGGCACTCCGGGAGGCAGTGGAAGACAGGAGTGCCTGGCGTGCTCTGGTCCATGGGGTCACGAAGAGTCGGGCACAACTAATCGACTAAACAACAGCATGTATTTGCTTACAGCGAGTGCCTTCCCCAATGGTCCTCCTCAAAAGCCAATCAATGCAAACAAAATGTAGAGATGGTTTTCAGTACCTGATTACAGGCTTATAATCCACCCCAAAGAGTTGCTGCTGCCTCTGGATTCTCTCCATCGATTCCACTGGCACCAGCCTGTCCCCACCATCTGCATGCTTACACATGAGTACCCAGCCTTCCTCCAGATCACAGCCAATCTTGAACTCCTCCAGCTGCTCCTATGAGGGAAGAATATGAAATCGTATGTCCAGTACAAAATACGACATTGGAGATAATTAAGAAATCCAAACAGTTTATCAAATCCTCATACATCATACAAAGAGATTTACACAGATGGTTAGGAACACTGATTATCCATAGAGAAATGCACAGCTCCTACTAATTGATTAAAAACCAAAATGCATGTCTTTAGTCTGTGCTAATGAGTGTCTAGGGACACGGGTGGCGCTGTGGGTAAAAGCCTCAGCGCCTAGGGCTTGCCGATCGAAAGGTCGGCAGTTCGGATCCCCGCGGCGGGGTGCGCTCCCATTGCTCGGTCCCAGCGCCTGCCAACCTAGCAGTTCGAAAGCACCCCCGGGTGCAAGTAGATAAATAGGGACCGCTTACTGGCGGGAAGGTAAACGGCGTTTCCGTGTGCGGCTCTGGCTCGCCAGATGCAGCTTGTCACACTGGCCACGTGACCCGGAAGTGTCTCCGGACAGCGCTGGCCCCCGGCCTATAGAGTGAGATGGGCGCACAACCCCAGAGTCTGGCAAGACTGGCCCGTACGGGCAGGGGTACCTTTACCTTTACCTTTAATGAGTGTCTATGACTACTTTTTCTGGTCTCTACAGACCAACAACACTCCCCTTTCTCACTTGAAAGAATGCACATGCATGCACTGTCAACAAAACGGTATTATACTGTCCTTCCAATTATAATTATAAGAAATTTGCTGAATACATGCATAGGAATTACTGAGGTTTACTAGCACATAGCCTTTGAGGGCCATGCAGTTATCAAAAAAATCTCCCCAACTATGATAAGGAAGATTGTTGGTATTACAGCTGTTTGCATATTCCTTACTGTTGCTATTTCCCAAGTGCAAAATGTGGCAGCCAGTTTATTGCCACACTAATACTAAAAGGGAAAATGATAACCAAGGCAGAAAAAAACATATGGGCCAGGAAAAACTGAAAGGCTCTTCTGTCAGCTAAATTCGTATCAAGGAACCATAAAACTAGCTGATAGTAATCTATGTCTGTAAACAGTGCCAGTCTCTGAGAAACGTAGGAATACTTGTGCCCTGTGACACCATCCTTGAGTGCGCATGTAGGACACAGCCCCAAAAAGCAATGGGAAAGAGAGGATGAGATGCCTATGTTTATCTCTGTTACATGTGTCTTAAGCCTCCATCTACATTTGCTCTAGCATGCAAATTATGTAAGTTGGGGGGGGGAGGTGTCAACCCTAAAACATTTGAAATTGTAATAAAGGCTCAAGTGCCTCTGAACATGGGTAGAGTGCATTTCCATCCTCTTCAAAAAGCATCCCGGCTGGGTTGCCAGTTCACACCAGGAATTAAGGACAGCAGGAATCATTACACGGAAGGAGGAATGTGGCGCTAGCAGGCTGGAGCCCTGGCAATTTACCCTCCTCGAAACTTCCGCGTTCAGCGGGTGCCCGTGCGCTGCAGGCCCCGCCGGAGGCTACACCTTGCCACACTCACCTTTGTCAGCTTCACCCAGAGCCCGTGCCCGTTGCAGTATTCCTCGCCGCTGGCTCGGATGCACGAGCCCTTGCGCAGCTCGATGGTGCCCCTGCCCAGGCCCTTCCTGCCGCCCGACCCGGAGCCGGCGCCGGCCTTGCTGGGGTTCTCCCATACCGACAGCAGGGTCCGGCCGGAGGCCGAGGCGGGCCCGGGGGCGCTGGGGTCCTTGCAGATCTTATACTGCACCTCGCGGGGCACGTAGCACAAGGCGGCGGGGAGCGGCTCCGCGCGCGTCAGGCACCCGATCGCCTCGCTCAGGAAGCGCAGCCGGCCTAGCAGCTGGTGCGGCGACTCGCCCGCCGTCGGGGGCATCATCCTGGCCGCCTGCAGCCGCCGAGGCGGGGTTGGCCCAGAGGGAGCAGCCGCCGCAGGAGCAGCTCCGCCGGTGGCCCCTTCCCTCCCGTCCCGAGTCTGGCAGCCGGCGAGTCTTTCCCAAGCGCAGCGACCGGGAGGAGGGCGGCTGCGGCTGCTTCCTGCTACTCTCGCCCTCCTTCCTCCTACGTTCTGCCGGGTGTACCGTAAAGCAGCCTCTATCGGCGGACGGCTGAATGAGCAAGCCTAGCATGCAAGAAGCCAGGGGAACCAGGCAATGGGAATGGGTCGGCGGCAAGCGCCGGACCCCGCGAGGGAGGTTTAGGCCTAAGGTGAAAGTGGCCAAGGAAGGTCGACGCGCAAGATCTCTGACTGCGTTTCACTTCAGTTCCTGGGCTCATGTGAATGGCTGGCGATGAGGCATATCGTAAAAGTTCGCGTTTCCAAAACAAACAGGGCAGGCGGAAGGATCTCTGATCAGGTGCCAGGGAATTGACACTAGTAGTAATATAAAGAGTGGCCTTAAACTAGGGCTAGGGGACCTGCGGCCTGCCCCGCCTTGCTGGCCTAGATCACAACTCCCATCATCCCTGATCATTAGCTATACTAGCCTTGGCTGATGGGAGTTTGGAGACCACCAGGTTCTCTAAGGCATTTAAACATGTTCTCTGTTGCTGAGTTGTGCTCTTTAGATGTCACTGTTCCTTGGAGCTGCCCAGTTATCTAGTGGTAAATCTGCTTGGTACAATCTTAACACTTTCACCTCTGTATCTTCTCTCCCAGAAGGACCTAACACTGTTTCTCACATCGGTCTTGTCTGTCTCCCTCATCATTAATGTTCTATGGTGATCTGGAGTCATATTGCTTCTTAGGCTTACCAGTGTTGATGAACATTGTTAAGCAACACTACAGTACAAGGATCTGTGAACACAAATGCACAACCCACATGGGATTAAAAAGCCAAGTGGCTTCTGGAAACTTCTGCTCGGCCTGATGGCAAATTTTGCTGTGGAGGTTTTTGCTTGTTCTTCTGCCAATCTTGGGGTCTCCCCGAGCCTGCTAATACTTCCTTCTTGCACATATATGTTGCAGCCTTTGGTTACATAAGGACTGGAGCTCTGAGAATTGTGTTTGCTGTTAGTGTATGTATATCATGACTGAGCTGTGGATTCGCGAGTAATATGTGAAATAAGGCACAGACAAAGCAGCCTTTGGCAACACCTTCCCACATTTTTATCTATTGGTCCCATGTGGTGCTGTGGTTAGGGTAATTTTTATCTCCAAGCAAAGAGCACAATGTACCGAAGGAGGAGGTGGTCCAAAGTTTTTATCAGCCAAGCACAGGGAGTGGCATTTATCGGCTAGGACAGGAAAATACCACATATTTTATGGATGTAGAACTAGTAGCAGATGTACTAACCCAGCTTCTTAATCATTCCCCTTGGCTGTGAATACGGGGGGCTACACGAGGGCAGTGGACTTGTGGGGAAATGAATGCGTATTTCTGTCTTTTAATTCATTTCTGCATGCACAATGGCTGCCTTGACCCAAGGGTTTGGTGCATTTGTCTAGCTCCCATGAACTATATGGGTTGTTGCAATGCTCTCTGTACTGTATTTAATTTAATTAGGAGTTCTAATGCCAGTTACTTGTTGGATGTCTATGCTCAAAATAGACCAGAGGGGTTTTGCTGCCCCACCACTTGGGCGTCTACGAGCCCTGCTCCGCGGTGCTGGTTCTGCCCTCTCTCCAGCGCCCCAGACAAGCGGCGGCGCGTGTGCTGTGCGCCTCCCGTCCTAACTTTTCCGGGAGACGTGCTACAGCGCACATTACGGTAATGCCGGTCCTGCCCCGGCCACGCCCAGCGGGAGCCGTGGGTGGATCCCACAAGCACCAATCGGGGGAGCTGGGGAAGGAACCCGGAAGTGGGGAGGAAGAGGCGTGTTGTTCTCGCCGCCAGGACTCGGGAGTAGGGCGGCCGCAGCAGCGCGGGCGGGATGGAGAAGAACGGGCCGGTCGTGTGAGTGGAAGCGAGAGGGCAGGCATTGTGCGGTCGTGGGTTCGTGGGGTGGGACAAGGGACATTTGCCGCTTGTTCCCTTGGCCGGGCTGCTGGGTCTTCAGCTGCTGCAGGGAAGCAGCACCTCAGCCCCTGACGCCCTTTCTGACATGCAGGTCCACCCGTGCAGTACTTGGGGTTGAGCTCGTGTTGCCGGTGCAGGCAGGGCTGACACGGTGCCGAGTTGTCTGCTTTGCGCCGAATGTCGGTTCCGCTGAGCACCAGTAGGCAAAGTTTGGGTTAAGAAGCGTTTCCACCTTGCTTTGCGCTGCTTTTATCCATTAGACATTAAGACGCAGTGCTACAGAGTATGAGGGAAAAGGAGGGACTCCTTTTTCTCTTTCCCCCTTCCGGCCCGTATTTGAGATGATTCTGCGTGCTCTAAGCAGACATTGCTTGCTGCAGTGAGAGTCTTTCTTTCACCTGGTTGCTCTACTTCAGCTTCTATGATGGTATTACTCTCATTGTGGCCAGCGTGAAAGCACGTAGGCCACGGTGGGCTTGATGGACTCTACTTCTGAAGTACTGTAATATACATACAGTTGTGCTTGCACATGTGGCCATGGCAAAACCAGGCTTTTGAACACACTGCAAGGGCTAAGCCCAAATCTAGCTCTGATCCAAATGACACAGCGTAAAGCAAGGGTTCCAAACTGTGGTCTGTCAACGTCATTCAGGTGGTCCACAGCATGTCTGTTAAATAAAATTAGAAATAGTCCCCCAAGGGACTAATATAAATATAGAATGTAGAACCTGTAGTTGTAACTAGCTAAGAGGGGGAATAACTGTTCCTGTATGGCACTGATAATTTAATCCATGATAGTTCCATGGACTGGACTGGTGTTTGTGTGTCTTTTCCCCTCCGGCTTCCCTCAGATTGTAATGCAATAGTTTGTTTGATAAAGTAAACAGACTTCACCCCTCTTGCAGCAAAGAATACCGCAACATGGTAGTGAGAGAGGAAATAGTCCTGTAAATATTTTTTCCAAGTTTTAGTTAGTGAGTGCCACTTACTACCTTCCCTAGTTGTCAATTTAATATTTGAAAGGGGGAGGAGGTGGAGAATCTTCTTTCACCTGGGAGTCACATTATATTGGATGGTTTTTGATAAATGGTCAAACACACCTCTTCACCCAGGCCTTTGAATGAGTGGCTGTTTTCTGTTCCCTGATAAGTCTCACAGAATTCCCTGAACTGAAGAATGATACCTTCCTCCGAGCAGCACATGGAGAAGAGACAGAATACATCCCTGTTTGGTGCATGAGGCAAGCAGGAAGGTACCTCCCAGGTAAGTGAAGTGACTGAGGTGTTTGGGGCAAAGATGTTTTGGATCTTGTCTTCATGTCCTTGGGACTGGGAAGGCCTGCTGGTTGGCCCTGAGTTCTGAGAGAGGAGTACAATTACCTAAAAATGAGTAGGAGGGAGAGGGAAAGAAGCTCTCAAGACCAGAGCCTTTGGAGGATTCTGAAAGCAAGAATCCAGCTACTAGTATCTGTCCAGAAAATGGATCTGGGAGAAACTTCAGCTCTGAAAAGCATTGACAGATAGTGTCCTGTGCCTGGAATTTTTTTCCTTGCAACACCTCTGTGATTGACATAATTAGCCTTTACCCATTTTCGAGGGCGGGTTCCTTTAGTCCACAGATGGAGGGAATCTATGGCCCTCCAGATGTTGCTGGAATCTGACTCCCATCAGTACCACCCAGAATGGTCAGTGGTCAGGCATTATGGAAATTGGAGTCCAACAACATCTGGAAGCGCCTAGGTTCCCTGCATCTCTCCTCTAGGTTAAGTTGCATTCCTTTTGAGAGGCATCTACCTTCCACTCCATTTTCTTTTTTTGCAGAGTTCCGAGAGACGCGAGCAGCTCAGGATTTCTTTGCTACCTGTCGATCACCAGAGAAGTGTTGTGAACTTACTCTGCAGGTGTGTTGTGAACTTATTCTGCAAGTGTGCAAGGTTCCAGGAGGGAGAGTTCTCTCCCCTCCCCCCCATTCACAATTCCTGTTCTGCAGACTGTGGCAGGAGCTGAATATACCCCAGAGTATAAACTGTGACATTTGCTCCCACAAGATGGTCAGCAGCATAGTTTTATGAGAGGCTCACCAGACTCACCATCTCATCTGCCTTTCCCTAACCAATTTCATTTGTCTCTTCCGTCTAAATAGCAAAACTAAATAGCAGTTATTTGATTTGGGTTTTAATGTCCTCCTTGCTGCATTTGCTATTCAGTTGGCATGGGCAATTTAATATATTTAGGTCACGGGTGGAGAACTCAGATTCCAGGGACCAAATGTGGCCTTATCTGTCCTTTGGGACTGTCTCTGCTTCACACCCTTCTTTTTGTCTGGCTGGAATGTGTCATGAGCTCTGATAATGCTCTTGCTTGCCTGGGTGGAGGAGAAAGAGGGGTGTGTAAGAAACTAGCTCATTGTGCAAAGGGAAAATTTACATTTGTTGCTTTGCCCACTTTTGCTCTGCCTTGTGAACTCCTGGAACATTCCCCTGGAGGGAATGTGGCTCTCAGGCTAAAAAAACACCACCACCCCAGTTTTTAGAAGCATTGTAGACTTCTTCATTAGATGTATCCTAAGCATTCTTCAGGAAATAATTTGGTATGTTATTCTACACTGCTCCTTGAATATAAAAACAATAGTGTCCAGGGTGGAATTCAAGATAGTGAGAAGGAGGCTGTTCACAAGTGGAACGAGTCCGCTTGCACAATGGGGACTTCCTCTAGCTCCCGTCACATGCCCTCTAAACCTGATCTGGACTGTTCCTCAATCTTCCAGAGCAGGTTTTGAGGGGAGTAGGGGAGGGAAAGTTCTCATTTTACTCATGCAACAACTTAGCTGAATTCCACCCCATTTTGCGATGAATGTGTTGTCTCCAGCAGCCACAAATGAAAGTGCATCTGTTAGCTTGAAATATGAAAGAGGGATTGTGATAAAATATGAATAGATATATAAGTAATAAGTTATTGCCACAAATGTAAAATTACTAACAGAACATTATAATTTTGATAAGTGCACTTTTGTGTTTCTTTCAATGCAATATAAATATTTTAAAAAGAAATACGAAAGAAAGAGCTCACTAGCTAAAACATGCCGTGGTACCTTGGTTCCCGAACGGCTTACGTTGTCGAACAAAATCGGCTCCTGAACACCGCAAACCTGGAAGTAAGTTTTTCAGAAGCTGAACGTCTGACATGGCTTCCACACTTTCCGCTTGAGTGCAGGAAGCTCCTGTAGCCAATCCTGTAGCCTTGGTTTTCAAATGGTTTTGGGAGTCAAACGGACTTCTGGAATGGATTAAGTTTGAGAACCAAGATACGAAAGTCTTGGCCACTCTACTAATAGGAAACTGATATCTCCACTGTGACTATTACGCTTTCCCTTGCAACAGACAGTGCTTGGCTGAGCATAATGTCTCTGTTGGGTGTTCCATGTAGCAGAAAGGGTAGCAGGGTGTGTGAATGAAGCCTCTGCTCCAGTGTCACTACATGTTGGCTCTATTCTGAAGGCATTCATTTGAACTTGCTTAAAACATCCATGACTGGAACCCCTGATAAGGCGGAGGTCCTGACTGCAGGGAGGTTTCTCAGTGCATTCCTCTGAATAAGAACGTAAAGAAGAGTCATGCTGGGCCAGCCAATGGGCACATCTAGACTTGCATCCTGTTTCTCACGATGGCCAACCAGATGCCTGTGGGAACCTGTGAGAGGGACCTGAGCTCAAGAGCACTCTTCCCTCCTGCAGTAACTGGTATTCAGAAGCATTTGCTGCCTCCGACCATGGAGGTAGAACGTAGCCCATTGTGGCTAGTAGAATGCCCTTAGATCTTCATGCTCAGCTTCCCAAAGATGATGATGATGATGATGATGATGATGATAATTCAGATCTGAAGCTTCCACATGGGGATGGGGAGGTTGGAGTGGGGTAACATGCAAAGGCCCCCCACCATACACACCGTTTTTGAATGCCTGGGAGTGGTCTATTGATACATGTGCATCAGATTGGCCTAATTCAAAATGGAAGCATTGATCGGACTTCGGTGTGCTTTCAAATGCACAAAGGCACGTCGTACGCTCTGGCAATGATCCTGAAAGACAGATGATGCACGATTGTTTTCTAAGACCCGTTTCCTTCTCAAATAACATACATCTGTGCAGCGTGCTTTCCCTTTGTTCTTTAGAATGTGTCTACTTCTCGGACCTCCTCCCTTTTCTCTGCTTTTGGCATTTTCATGGGTCTCTGATTCCCCACCCCCACCCCCATGTTCTTTTTCACAACATCATTACAAAACATTTCTATTAAGTCTATTTTAGTAACATTCATTAACACACCCCTCCGCACAGCACTGTCTTTCTCTTCAAAAATGTTATTAATGGCATAACGTTTGTTCCTTTTTGTTCAGTATAATCAGGCATCTCAGATCCATTTTTCAAACCGGTATTGTTGCAGTGCTTATATTTCCTATCCTTTACTTTTGTTCTGTTTTGTTCCCTCATCAGGATCCTTTCCTAAGTAAAGATCAAGCTAGAGGGACTTACCAACCCTACGAACTTGGAGAACAATTGGGAATTTGGGTGAAAAATTCAGATGGAGTGACTCCAGCTGTTGGGCAGGTAGGTATCTACGGGGCAATCCTTTGGATTGGATAAGATAGTTGTTGTTGTTGTGGAAGAATTTACATTGCTGTAACACAGAGTTTCCCAAACTAGGGTCTCAAAGCGTTTCTTTGGACTACAATTCCCATCATCCCTGACTACTGCTCCTGCTAGCTAGGGCTGATGGGAGTTGTAGTCCCAAAACAGCTAGGAAACCCTGCTGTATCATGTTGATCGTTATGTTCTCAAGGCAGCAACGTCCAATCACAGTAGCAGTAAAGGAAGAGAGAGCAACACCCATTCTCACAATACCATTGCCACACACTAATTATGACATTGCTCTTGATGGTTTCATATGAACGTAGGACATCAAGTCAAACATTGGTCCATCTAACCTAGTATTGTTGACAGTGACTGGCAGTAGCCCTCCACAATCAATTGGACCTAAGCAATAGTATTCCAAGAAGAAGTATTTCCTTACCTTCTGCCTTGCGGGAAATCTTTGGGAGAAGAAAAGTGAAGAGTGAACCCTACACAAATCTGGAGTAGAGTTCCTAAATCCCTGGCACCTTGTACATCTCCTTCTGGCAACTCCTGCACCCAAGCTGGTGCCAAATGTATTGCTCTGCTTTCCTCTGGACCACATCAGTGAGGCCAAGAGGGAAGCAAAAACAACATGGGAGGTAGCACTTTCGAGTTACCTGTCCCAGCAGCCACAGCAGGTGCTGTGATTCTCCAGTGGTTTTACTTCACCCCTGGAGGCACACTCCATTGTCTCCCTAGGCAGACAGATGCCAACAAGTGGTACACTCTGAGCTTGCATCCCACACAATCTCTGAAATTTTCCATGTCCATTAGCAGGACCGAAATGTCCTTATCTTAATATATTTCATTCTCACTTCCAGGCCTTGGCTCCAGGAAATTCAGTGTACCCTGACTACTTCAACCCCAAAACAGCTGACTGGTGGACCCAGATGTGTGTTCAGTTCCATAATGTCCTTCCTTATGATGGTATTTGGCTTGTACGTTTGATAATATTTCCCTTGATATTTTATCTCTCTTCTCTTCCCCCACCCAAAGTATACCATAAAACCTAACCTGTTTCTTCTTTTTTATTTGGTTAGGATATGAATGAACCCTCAAATTTTCTCAATGGCCAGATCCCAGGCTGTGCTCACAACAACCTCAACTACCCACCTTACATTCCCAGTAAGTGACTTTTGAAAAACAAATATCCTTTTGCCTGAATTCCTATAGCCACTTACAGCATCAAATGTTTTCTAAAAGTTTAGTAGACACTTATTTTAAAAAAACCCAGAATCAGTCCTTCTAGGACATCCCTGGTATTTCACTGTTGATCTTGAGCTATATAGAAGTCAAGGCTTGATTGTCCCTAAGGGAGAAGATAAAAAGGGGCTTGTATAAAGTGATACAGTTGTTAAGTGATTCCGACAGTAAAGTTCTCTTCCAAGGTAGCTACAGTCTCTGGTCATGATGTTGTGAATCACATTTTGTCTCTTGGCATTGTACTACACTGTGGGCAAATCCATGATGTTCCTCTGTGCAGAAAAATATGTGGAATTCCCCTTCAAAAAATTCAAAGCCTGTACAGGACAGACAGGGAAATGGCTACTTGTGTTTGGACGGTGCCATGAAAAACACCTAAGCCCAAGGATGGGGATGAGCCCCAGCCAGCATGACCAAAGGCCACGATGACGAAAGCTGTAGTCCAGTAACATCTGAAGAGCATAAGCTCTCCTCCTTCTCTTCATCGCTTTTTCCTCTTCCCCCATCTTTGCGACCACAACTGTTTCAGCAGGATGAAGAGGGTTGGAGGGTGGAGGGGAGTTGTGTCGAACCACAGCAAACTATGGCAAGTTCTTAAAGAAATGGGAGTGCCTGATCACCTCATCTGTCTCCTGAGAAATCTCTATGTGGGAGAAGAAGCTACAGTTAGAACTGGATATGGAACAACTGATTGGTTCAAAATTGAGAAAGGAGTATGGCAATGCTGTATATTGTCCCCCTGCTTATTTAACTTATGTGCAGAATTCATCATGCGAAAGGCTGGGCTGGATGAATCCCTAGCCGGAATTAAGATCGCCGGAAGAAATATCAACAACCTCAGATATGCAGATGACACAACATTGATGGCAGAAAGTGAGGAGGAATTAAAGAACCTTTTGATGAGGGTGAAAGAGGAGAGCACAAAATATGGTCTGAAGCTCAACATCAAAAAAATGAAGATCATGGCCACTGGTCCCATCACCTCCTGGCAAATAGAAGGGGAAGAAATGGAGGCAGTGAGAGATTTCACTTTCTTGGGCTCCATGATCACTGCAGATGGTGACAGCAGTCACGAAATTAAAAGACGCCTGCTCCTTGGGAGAAAGGTGATGGCAAACCTAGACAGCATCTTAAAAAGCAGAGACATCACCTTGCCAACAAAGGTCCGTATAGTTAAAGCCATGGTTTTCCCAGTAGTGATGTATGGAAGTGAGAGCTGGACCATAAAGAAGGCTGATCGCCGAAGAATTGATGCTTTTGAATTATGGTGCTGGAGGAGACTCTTGAGAGTCCCATGGACTGCAAGAAGATCAAACGTATCCATTCTGAAGGAAATCAGCCCTGAGTGCTCACTGGAAGGACAGATCCTGAAGCTGAGGCTCTAAGACTTTGGCCACCTCATGAGAAGAAAAGACTCCCTGGAAAAGACCCTGATGCTGGGAAAGATGGAGGGCAGAAGGAGAAGGGGACAGAGGACGAGATGGTTGGACAGTGTTCTTGAAGCTACAAACATGAGTCTGATCAAACTGCGGGAGGCAGTGGAAGACAGGAGTGCCTGGCGTGCTCTGGTCCATGGGGTCACGAAGAGTCGGACACGACTAAACAACTAAACAACAACAACAAAGCAGGCTCATAGAGTTCACTTGCATTCTTAATAACTACCTCTCCAATCCAATGGTGTCAGGACCCACAAGGGTTAGAAATAGATGTCCATTGGCTCTGATGTGGTGAGACACCAGAGCTGCTTTGGGAGCAGTTTCCCCAGGCTCTGAATTGACTTTGTCCACTCAGGCTGACCATTGAATCCTCTTACCCAGGTTAGTCTATAAAGGGCCTCCTGTCTGGGGTGGGATTTGAACAAAAGGTCTTCCTAGTGCTTCAGAAAAGTTGCTTGTTCCTTAGCTCTGTCTCCTAGCTTTTTCTGGCCCTCTTCCACACCTGGTTCCAGGTTCCTCGCTCCCCTCTGACAGCTACCTACAGCTGAGCACTGACAGATGGGTGAAACACAGAGAAAGTGAAATGCTTTTTAAGTCTTATTGATTTCACTCACCCTAATTGTGTTTCTAGAAACAACATAAATCACGAAGAGCAAGAATATGAGAACACTGGTGTTCAAAATTCCAGGCATGACTGTGGATCCGAATATCACAGTGCTTTGCTTATTGCAAGGATAGACAACCTGGTGCACTCCAAGTGTTCTTAACTGCAGCATCTATCATCCCTACTGGATGGAGCTGAGGGGAGCTGTGGTCCAGAACATCTGGAGGACACCTTCTTTATTGATTTTGACAGTTGCTCAATATTTCACATTCAGTGTCAGCGGGAAGAGCCAATGGTACAGGTACTTATTTGAGAGAAGGAATCATGTCTATCCTAGTAACCGGGGTGCAGAGTTCAGTGTCCCTATTCAGGCTGCAGTATTCTCTCTATATGAAGGAATTTGGAAGGTTAAAACCCTGTTCTGGGAAGCCCAAAGCCCTACAGCTCCTGCCAGCCATCCAGCAATTAGTCTGGTCAACATCCTTCTAACAAACCCTGGCTGTTTTCAGGAGCCTAATTGGCAGCAAGCAGTTGATATCTATTATGTGCTGCTGACAATGAAATATCAGGGGGGGAATCCAAAACGGAAAACATCATTATGGAACTGCCTGTCACTGAAGGCTTAGTTGTGGTGAACTGTGAGTGAGGAATCTCTTCCCTTTATTTGAGGAAGGGAGCCAAATTCATGGCTGGGAATTTTATTCTGAGAATATTCTCAGCCATGAATTTTGCCATTCCATGAATAGTATTGAAAAAATTGGACAGTTTGTGGAAATAGTGATTTATGTGATTACTGTGGGACAAGTTCGTGTACAACAAAAAGGAACGTTCCTAGTTTATACTCTGGGTACAACTACATCCTGCATGCCTTATTGTTCCACAGCCAGACAGCAGGAATAATCATGGGAATAAATGTAATTATTGGGGAATGTATAAAGCAACCCAACAAAAACTTTCAAGTTTATTTCTTATGAATCAACTTTACTTTTAAAAAAATGACTGTGAATGTGAAGGGACTTGTTACTCAATAATAATTCTTAATATTTTGTATTCCACTTTCAGGAATTTCTGATTCTTCTCTGTTTCAAAGCACACTGTGTCCAGATTCTAAAACTTTTCTGGGAGATCTTTATGACACACATTCCCTCTTTGGATGGTCTGAAGCCCCACCTACGTTCCGGTAAGTTCTCTGAATGTCTTCCAGTAAACGCTCTGAAAATCTTTAAAGATACGTTACACAGTTTTCATTTAAGTTTTTTTGTTCAGGAAGAATTGGCACCACCTGGAAACTTGAAATGGGCTGTACTTAGGATCTCATGTTGCAAATGCAGAGGGTGGACTTGAGAGCAGGGCAAACCACCCCCAGTCCGTATAAAATGGGCTGCCTGGGTACTTTATGTACTTCAGTATAATTTACTTCGGTATAAAGTAATTTCATATGTCCTTGCAGAAACTATTGCCAAAGTTATTCCAGTAGTGGTAGTTAGGAGGGAATTTATCACAAATTGGCTAGATAAGTGCTGTCAGCACCAAGGATTTCAGGCGCATGTTTTCAAGGATGAAAGTAAAAGATGAGAGGGAGAAGCAGCGGTGTGGTGGAAATTAATTCAGAAAATGGCTAGTAAGGAAAGTGTTTTACACACACACACACACACACACACACACACACACACCATACCACTGCTCTAAGCCATGGGTAGGCAAACTAAGGCCCGGGGGCCAGATCCAGCCCAATCGCCTTCTCAATCCGGCCCGCGAATGGTCCGGGAATCAGTGTGTTTTTACATGAGTAGAATGTGTCCTTTTATTTAAAATGCATCTCTGGGTTATTTGTAGGGCCTGTAGGGTGTTTTTACATGAGTAGAATTTAAAACCATCTCTGGGTAATTTGTGGGGCATAGGAATTCATTCATTTTTTCCCTCAAAATATTGTCCGGCCCCCCACAAGGTCTGAGGGACAGTGGACTGGCCCCCTGCTGAAAAAGTTTGCTGAGCCCTGATCTAAGCCATAATCTCCATTTTTATAAAATTGCTATCAAGGCTTCCTTCCACACATTTGCACTTATTGTATTGCCTGCCTTAGTTCATTTGGGAGATGGCAGGGTCTAGCTATTGCCTTGCATGAACTGTGAGTACACTCTGGACCCCATACCCAAGGCTACCTGAAGTTGCGAGGAAGATCAGTAGAGAGCCAGTGTAGTATAGTATCAGAGGGGACCCAGGTTAAGTTTCAACAGTCTGCCATGGGAAGAACCACATACACCACACTGAGCTTCCTGGAGGAAAGCCAGGTTGCAAATGTGATAATAAACATAGTGAATAGCAAACTGTTTTTAGGAAATCTTATCTACAATTACAGATCTTTTCACTCAGGAACTGCCAATGAGCTTCCACAGAACACTACAGTTCCCTGGGAAATAGTTTGAAAACCTTACAACCTTAAAAAAAGAAAAAGAAACCTCTGTTAAGCAATTGTTTCTCCATGAGTTTCTGCAAAAGCTTTTTAAAAAATCATAGGAAGTGATTGCATGGTTGCAAATTTGAGCTGGTTCTCAACTGGGGCTATAAAAAGCTCCAGAGATTGCCTAAATCAGGCTTCTGCAACCTAAGATCCTCCCTGTATTTTGGACTTTTAAGTTTCAGCCATCTTAGGAAAGGCTGGTCCAAATTACCATTTTACACTGGACCGTATGAGGCAGTGGAATGTCTGTTGCTAATATTGCTACTGTAAACCACTTATTAAGGGTGGCGCTGTGGGTTAAACCACAGAGCCTAGGACTTGCCGATCAGAAGGTCGGCGGTTCGAATCCCCACAACGGGGTGAGCTCCCGTTGCTCAGTCCCTGCTCCTGCCAATCTAGCAGTTCGAAAGCACGTCAAAGTGCAAGTAGATAAATAGGTACCGCTCCGGCGGGAAGGTAAACCGCGTTTCCGTGCACTGCTCTGGTTCACCAGAGGCAGCTTAGTCATGCTGGCCACATGACCCGGAAGCTATATGCTGGCTCCCTCGGCCAGTAAAGCGAGATGAGCGCCGCAACCCCAGAGTCGTTCACGACTGGACCTAATAGTCAGGGGTCCCTTTACTTTTACACCACTTATTGCAATACTTTTTTTATAAATAGTAAGTGGTCCAGAAGTTGACTAAATAAATAAATAAATGTTCTTTGTGCAAAGTGCCATACAAACGTTCCCAATTTCATATGATGAGTCCATGACAGAGGTGGGATTGAAACACAGGTTGCTAGCCAGCCTTAAAGCAAGCAAGCAAGTACATTTTTGCAGAGCGAGGGACGCTCGGTGCTGCTGTAGATTGAAGGCACCTGTTGCTCTGAAACTAGAGTGGTTGAAAAAGCAAAGCTAGACTCTTTTAAGGTCTGGAAA